CTTGCAACATTTTATAACACTTTTAAGTATTTTACATTATTTGTTATGCTCTATCCCAAATCACTCCTGTTAAGCAACCAAATGATTGTCTTCTAAAGACTTGACTCTATTGTGTTTGGTAAAGGAAATACCACAGGTTTTGAAATTTACCTTAGCTGAGCATAAATATCAACCTTGCTGCTTACTAACTGAGTAATACAGTATAGGGTAATTTCTTCACCTCTCTGCCTCTTATTTATTTCCTCTAGGAAATAGGAATCACACTCCTAATGATCTAGCTGTATTAATAATAAAATAAATAAAATAATTAATGCACAGCATTCACACTGTTTTGGCAAAGTAGGAAGTCAACAAACATTAGATCCATTATTCTTAGTTGTTCATTTATAGTTAAATCAAAAATTATATTCCAAACCTGAAGCTCAGTAAAGTACATAATAATCCAAAATATGACTTAAAAATACATATGAGTTTAAACTGTAAACATGACTTTAAATGGCTATTGATAGTACAGCTAATGAAATACTGTTACAGATCATATTGACACAATTTTATGCATATACTCTTTGTTCAAACTAGCTTTTAGGTTGCGTGTTTGTTATAGCACTTTGTTATTTAGTAGGAAAATCCATTTTCTGACAATGTATCAAGACTTTATGTTTATTTTAACCTACCTAACTTTTTTCCCAAGATTTGTCATTATCTCCAAATTAATAAAAATTGAAATTATCATTCTGATAGCTTATGGATATATTATAAACATTTATTAAGTCTCTGAATTCAATTCTATTTTTTCAACTGTAATTTTCTGAGTTGTTTGGGAAAAAAAAAGAAGTTCTAAACAATCACTAAGTCTGCTTAAGATACTTAGATGGTAGAAAATATTGGGCCAAATCTATTTCAACGTAGAATTTTTCCACTGCATCATTTATTCTGCACCTCACCAAGCCCGGATAACATTGAGAGTCACATGTATCTGCTTATATTTACATAATATTTTTACTTGACTATTTTACTGCTTTATGAATTTATTGTTTATGGAATAATGAGAGTGATATTGATGATTAAATATTTTGAGAGAGACAGAGTATTCAGAAAATGGAATTACTGCCATGCTGCTGAGTTTTGGGGATAATAAGGATAAGCAAGATCCCTAGCATTATCGTTGAATAGGTTCCTATACATGCATGGGAGAGAGTAGAGCTCTGTTATCTGTACTGAGTAGAGTTGAACAGAAAGCACAGCTGGTGACATTAGTTCTAATAGACCAGCTAAAAGATACTTTGAAAAGCTGTCTCTCAGCTCTCAGAAATACAGCAGAAATCTCAAGTTTCTTGCTGAAAACCTGATATTATAAGCCTGGGTGTCATAGGTTTTAGTCAGTTCTGATTTGAACCTTGTGAGCTTCACATTGTGAATTTAGAATCACACTGTGACCCAAAGGAAATTAAATAATTTTTAGTAAAGCAGCATATAGACAATGTTAGGATAATCCAAATTTTCTCTGAAATGTGTTTCACATAGGCAAGTAGAACTTTAATAGGTCCTTAATATAAATCAGTAACTATATTGCAAATAGCTTTGAGATTTTAAACAATAATTTTGTAAAACAACAAAACTGGTTTTAAAGGTTTAAAATGTGTAGCAGCCACTGGTTTTTGGATTGTCTATTTTTCACTTATTATTTAATAGGAGTTCATTATATGTTCTGGATATGAATCCTTTGTCACATGTAAGTATTGCAAGTATCTTCTACTATGCTTTTTAATTTTTTTTTAATTTTTAATCTCTTAATGGTTTGTTTTCATGAACAAAATTTTTAATTTTAAGGTAGTTTAATTTATTGATTTGTTTTCCTCTATGGTGCACTGTTTAAGAAAGCATTGCTTATTGCAAAGTTTTGAAAACATTCAGTAATATTTTCTCCTAAAAATTTTATTGCTTTAATATTTATTTTTAGATATACATCTGTCTGTAGTTAATTTTTTATATTTTTATGATTTAGAGGTTGAAATTTATTTTTTAATATTGATACTCAACTGAACAAACACAATTTAATTAAAAACGATCATTTTTCCGTCACTAATCTACACTGAGATTTTGTAATAGATCAGGTAACCATATAAATATAGTATTTCTGTACTCTCTGTTGTGTAATGTTGGTCTGTATGTCTATGCTATCAGTAAAACATTATCTTAATTAGTACAGTTTATAATGTGTCTTGATCTCTAGCTTTCTTCTTTTTATCCTTATTTTTTCTTTCTTTTCCTTCCCTTCTCCTTTTTTCTCTTCCTTTCTTTCTTAGTTTGTGGGGATTGCTTTGATTCATCTTGCCACTTAAATGTACATATTAATTGTAGAATCAGTTTGTCAATTTTACAAAATGTCTTCAAGAATATTTCACCAAAGAGGATATCCAAATGGCTAAGAGTCATAAGAAAAACACGCCCTGGGAAATGCATCAAAATGCTTGTGATAATTATCTCTGGAGGGTGGAAATTATGGGTGATTGTTAATTTTTACTTTATGCATTTATGTATTTCTAGTTGTCTGCAGTGAACATGTATTCCTTGTACAACTAGAAAGAAAACAATACATGCCATTAAAATTAAAAAAAAAAAGCACTCCATTTCATTAAGCACCAAAGAAATGCAAATTAAAATCATAGTGTAATACCACTACAAACCCACCAGGATTGCTAACATGAAAGACAGTAAGTATTAGGTGTTTGCAAGAATGCAGTGCAAATAGAGTTCTCACACACTGCTCAGTTAAGCTTAGATTAGTACAACCACTTTGGAAAGCAGGCAGTATGTAATAAATCTGAGCATATATTTATCCTACACCAAATATTTCAGAATTTGTATAGTGTCACTATTCATACTAGATCTCAAAAAAACCCCAAAATAAAGAAGCAAAAAATCCATCAACAGTAGAGTGGGTAAAGAAAGTGTGGTATGTTTATACAGTTGAATAGTAAACAACAAAGTAAATGAATTAACTACATCTACACGCAACAAGGTGGTGTAAAGTAAAAGAAGCCAGGAATATGCACTGTATGTCCATTTACATACTACTTGGTATCTTCAAAAATATGCAGAATTAATCCATGGGGACAGAAGTCAGGACAATGATTTGCCTTGGTGGAAAGGAAGTGACTGTCATAAAAGAGCTCTGGCACTCCCGTAACAATCTGCTTCTTGAACTTTGTGATTATTATACAGGTTTGTTCACTCTTTGAAAATTTCTCAAGCTCTACACTTAAGATTTCTGCACTTTCCTGTATGTATATTATATATCAATAAAATTCCAAATAAGTTATTAAAGGAGAAACACAGAATTGTACAAGAGAAATTAAACACAGTGAGAACAGACAACTCTAAAATCTGTGCTCTAAAAAGGAGTTAGAAATGGTACAGCACATATAGATTTAATGCTTCCTCTGCTTTCCATAAAACATGTCTGAAAGGAAATGTACAATGATCTCCTCATTTACCTGGATTATGAGAATTTATATATCTTCATTTTAAAAAATAAAGAAAATATTATATGTACCTATGATATATGGTAGAATCAGAAGCAAAGAATATATCCCTAAATTATACAAACAAGGAAATTTGAAATGGTGATAGTTTATAAATATCAAGTTACTTTTCAAATATTGTAATAACTGTGTGTAAACTCATAGTATATAGGTATTTATATACATCTATATTGCATATGTGAATGAAAAATATTTACTTTTATGCACTAACTATACTACTCTTACTTTAAGCTACAAAATGGTAGTTTGAAACCAGCAGCATGATTAAATTCTATCATCTAATAGTACTGTAACTATAAATATTCGTTTTAACCTAATTTTATTTGAATTCTGAAACAAATAGTAAGATTCTCTTGTCCAAATTTTTTCTTACCAAGTGAAATAGGAAATAGTCCAACAACATAGTAGTGTATTCTTATACTAAATAACAAAATTTTATCAAATATTCAATAGCTTTACCTGATAATTAGTTTTTTTCTTGTATCTGTAAGGCAAAATATCAGAAAGTGCTCTATATTACACATACAAAAGTAATTCTAATCAATAAAATATTCTCACATAGATTTCTTTATTGTTCCAATAACTGAAAAACAAAAATGTAGTGTTTGGTGTCTTACATGTTGTAGATGCTCAAATGTTTTTGATAAATATATGATAATGATGAATATTCTTTATTTGTATCCATTCAAACTGTTCTTGCTTAAGTATTAATTTATAACCAATTTATAAATGCAATTTGTGTTATGATTATTTCATATAACAACTCTGTCTAGACAATTCTTTAATCACCAGAAAGATGATTCATAAATGATGTCCAATAACTAAGAAATGGGAGAAGTGTATCATCTTAGGTTATAAATAAATGATGCTAAGAAACAACAAAATTAATACATTTTTGTAAGGGAGGAATATATGTGGTAAGGAAATATATGAATTGATGTATTTATTACAAAAAGAATAAATATTTAATCAATAGTACATAGATACAATAAAATTCTAGCCTATGAGGAGCAGAAGATAAAGTTAGTAGCAAAATTTATGTAAACTAAAGTATTTATGTGCGAAAGTACATTTTGTTTAATACCGTTATGTACTGCTTATTGAAATGGTGAAATGTGTGATACTAATTTAATATGATGGGAATATTAGTTTTGTGTAGACTTTCAGTAAATAGAATATTTATTTTGATAATTAGGTGTATATTGATAGTCAAACCTGATATAAAAAGTTGTATTAAGAATACGTGTTACAGCGCCGACTGGCGCACGCCACGCTCTAATGGTAGACCAAGCTGTCGCTCGCTGCCTTCTCGGTCCCTGCGGGAGTGCGGGGCGGGGGCGGCCCCCAAAAGTAAGAGGCGCGGGAGGAGCAGGTCTGCGAGTCGAAGTGTCGCGGTGGCGCACTTGCAGCAAGAATCGGGAGGGGCAGGAGACCGCGAGGAGAGGCCCAGGAGCAATGGCGTCCAAAGAGGAACAAGTAGTAAAAAATCTCAACATGGAAAATACCCTACAGGAAAGGGAAGGTGGGGACCAGGCCCCTTTGCAGAATGGAGAGGAATTACGCGATTTAGGAGGGGGTAGAGGCCAGAAGCCTGGAGGAAATGTCAGGTTGGGACGGATTAGACGACTTGTCCCTAATTTTCGATGGGCCATACCCAGCAGGCATATTGATCACAATGAAGTGGGGGATGATGTAGAAAAGCACGTAGGGCAGATGATGGAAATCAGGAGAAAGACTAAGAAGCAGCAAATGAGGCATCATTTGCGCTACCAAACTCCTGAACCTGACAATCATTATGAGTTTTGCCTTATATCTTGAATCCTAAGATTATCCCTGAGGTCAGTAATGTGGCCTCTGCTCTACATGCTTGTAGTTTTTCTGATTTACTTTTTCTGTAAACATTTTGGTGTTTCCACTTACCAGTTTCTAATTGAATATTGCTTTGTCTCTGTAAAACTTTCTGTCATCAGGGCAATTTCATCCAGTTATAGGAAAATTATTCTTTTCATAATATGAAATTAATAAAGCAGTTTACAAAGGAAAAAAAAAGAATACGTGTTATAGAAATTTGGGACACATAAAGAAAAATGCTGGTTCAGAAAAATCATGAGTATATACATGTATACTCATGTAAGTATATATGAGTATATACATAGATATAATATACTACAGTGTATATTAAATACATATATATATATTATTTTTCAATGTGGTCAATGCAATTTAAGTCTTAGTTCACTGAAGTAGGTTGGTTACATTCAGAAGTAGGTTGGTTACATTCAGAAGAAGACCTAGAATCAGAATTTTAAGGCAAGTAGATTGGGCTATGATCTCAAGAAACCCATGAGAGGAGTGGAAAGATGAGACAGGAAAGAGAAGAAAACCTGTTCAGGGTGTAATGTTAATAATGAAGTTATCTCTGTGGACATCTAGTGTTCAACATCTTTAAGAATTCAGGAAGATTGTATGAAACATTGATTATTTATATTTGAGGACCACAGAAATGTTAGTATTTGTAGTTTAACTCCCATTCATCATTCACTGAGAGCAGCAACTGAGGGTGCTAACTCCTAGGAATTCTAATCTACCCAATAAGTGGACCTAAAGGTAGAAACCTGGCAGAAAAAGTGCTTGCTGTAGGACACTATCTGCAGGTAGTAGAATAATGGTGAATTCTGAGAGATATGAGAGGGGCATTGAGAGTGTCTACAACAAGAAGCAATCAGAGAGTGGCAGACAGAATTCTAAAAGAGCCAGCAAGATCACCAACTTTTGGAGAAAAGGCCTTGCATAATTCCCTCCCTTGGATTCACAGAGATCTTGTGAATAAGGTGATTCTCACACCATGCTTATGTTATGTTACATGGCAAAAGGAATTTTACTATGTAATTAAAATGACAAATCATTTGATTTGGAGTTAATCAAAAGGGATATTAACTAGATAGTCTGATTTAATCAGCTGAGATTACTTAAATAAAAAGAAGATATTCAAAGAATAATTGAGATTTTCTCCTGTTCATCTTGAAGATATGGAAGCTGCCATGAGTTTTATAGATGTAAGGGACTGAATTCTGCTAACTAATTGAATGAGCTCACGTGAGACCCCAAGACCTGGTCAACACCTTACCTTAAGCCTGAGACACCCTGGGCAGAGAACCAAGTTAAGTTGTGCCTGGACTTCTGAACTACAGAAACAGTGAGATAAATTTGTGCTAAGCTGCTGAGTTTGTGGCAGATTTTTTTTATCCAGCAATAGAACAGTAATACAAATAAGCATATGACATATACACACATATAAATCTTATATATTTGGTTTAAAAATCAAAGGCCTTGAAGTTTCTTTTCTCTCCAGCTCAGACTGATTTGATACTCCTATATACCAATTCCAAATATTCATTTCACTGGCAATGATGCTTTTACTAAATACATGTGTATATGCTTGCCCAATGCTGGTGGTTTCCCAAACTCAACTTTTAAGTACTCAATCGTTTTTTCAAGGCTAGAGCCACCTTTTCTCTTTGTTGTAATATTAGTATTACTGTTTTGCTTTGATTGCCACTATTTTATAAACTGCTATCTACATCACCAAAATTCCAATCACCATCCTCTCCACTGTAACATTTAGCATCTTCCTCTGATTTTTTTAAATTGTTTTTAATTTTATATAATTTTAAAGGTTACACTCCATTTACAATCATTACAAAATGTTGGATATATTCCCTGTGTTGTAGAATACATCCTTGTAACCTACCCAAGAGTTTGTACCTCCCACTCCCTCACTCTGATATTGCCCCCTCAACTGGTAACTACTAGTTTGTTCTCTCTATTTGTGAGCCTGCTTCTTTTTTTGTTATAGTCATTATTGTTGTATTTTTTAGATTCCATATATAAGTGACATCATAGAGTATTTCTCTTTCTCTGACTTATTTCACTTAACATAATGCTTTCCAAGCCCACTCAGTTGTTGCAAAATGGCAAAAATTTGTTCTTTTTTCTGGCTGAATAGTATTCCATTATAAATATATGGCACATCTTCTTTATCCATTCATCTGCTGATGAACAGTTAGGTTGCTTCCATATTTTAGCTATTGTAAATAGTGCTGTTATGAACATTGGGGTGCATGTATCTTCTCAAATTTAGTGTTTTGTTTTTTTCAAATATGTACCAGGAATGGAATTACTGGATTATATGGTAGCCAGCCACTGTGGAAAACAGTATAAAGGTTTCTCAAAGAACTAAAAGTGGAACTATCATATGACTCCTCCACTTTTTCTTGATAACCACTTCCCTTATTTTCTTCACTCTCTTTGTCCACTCTGATACAGTAATCTATAATATACATTTACTCTCTTGATGATAAGTGCTTTAGTTCCTTCTCTGTCTAGAGCAACTAAATATCCACAAAATACTATATGTAACACATATACATACATACATAAACACTCATACATACATACTACATGATAGACATTATTGATGAATGTATTAATTTGTTCAAAATGACATATGAATAAATACATTAATGTGTACACATGTAAGAGGATGATTACATAAGACAAAAAAGAGCTAGTTTATCTGAGCATCCAATTCATCTACTCTGATCTCCCCTGAGGAAAGATCAACATTATGTTTCTAAGTCCTTTGAAGAAAAAATAGATAGAATTTCCCAGATTGGAAATGATAGAGGGAAGTTAATGGAAGACTAAATGTAGATACTTCCTTGAAAAATGGTTGGTTTTCAAGTATGCAGCAAGAATTTAGAATAATCCACAACTTTGTATATATTTTGAGCAATGAGTCCCATAAACCCTATTCCCATGCAGAATCTCGTAGAGAAAAAAGATCTCAGAGAAAAATTTCACCTGGAGAAGTTGGCCCCTAGACCCTAGGGCTTCAGGTATCAGTAAAACTTCCCACCCCCTATGAGCACAGTCTAATGAGGCTTCCTTCCTTTTAAAAGGATCACATAGGCTTATATAGCTAGCCTATCAACAGTGACTGCTTGAAACAAGAGAGCTCTAATCAAATATTCTAGAAGGAAATATAACTCCTGGAAGCTCTAATGACTTTAGGGCTGGGTTCATAATGAATGGAATGGGAGCTCCCTACCATTTCAACTTAAGTGAGAAAAAATAATTACTATATATATTTATTTTATTTTAATAGTCATGTACTTTTACACTCATTTTTAGAAAGATAGGTAAATCATAGATTGATCAATCATTTATCAAACATATGGATAATTAGTAGACAGATGAGATACTAGCTAATCAGGGAAGTTAAAAAGGTAGATGGATAAATTGATAAACAGATATAGAATATGCAATTAGATAATTTTCCTAAGTATAGATATTTTAAAAAATCCTTACAGTGAGTACAAGAATAAGGCATAAGCCCTTGCACATGTCTTTACCCATCACTGAATAATGGTTAATTCAGGGATGCCTGTTTAACAGTCCTTTAGGGAAAGCTACAAAACATATTTAAACAACCAAAGCTTCAGGCTAGATTTAGGCAGGGAGTTCATAATTACACAATTAAAAATAGGCCAAGATGATGAAGTTAATGTCTCTCCCAAATGAAGGAAAATGTTAGTCAACTAGTGCAAAACTAGAAAATAACTTAAGCTACTAATTAACAATGGTTTCAAAATGTCTTTAATGCTAAAGAATCATTTAACTCTTACTGAGTGACTCTAACCACATCAAATCATTTTAATATACACTGGGTAAACAATTAAGACATGATTTCCACCCTTATCCATTAGAGTCTAAAAGGATAGTGAATTCATGTCCACATATAGTTTTACTATAAAGCAGAATATAATAAAGGATTAAAATAAATACAAATCAAATTATACAAAGGACACCAGTGTAAATATTTTATTGTGGCTGAGAAGCTTTGTAGTTGATGTGACAGAAGATAGCTCAAAGACCTTAACAATTAGTTTCATCTTTATGATTTTAGGCAAGTTACTTAATTCTTTATGAACTTTTATTTCCTCACCTTGAACATGGTTTTAAGAATGCCGTGTATCACATGGGGTTACAGAGAGGATTTAAAAAGATAATCTGAGTAAAGCAGTTAAAATTTAAGATCATTTAATACTGTTAGGATTTCCATGGCTTTATCCACTTTATCAAAATTGTGGAAGATATTTTGACAGAAAATATTTTAAGGCAAGAAGTCTTGATTGTTCAATAGGGAAAGAAGAAGGAATGAGTTTCTATTTTAAGACAGTGTCATTGGAAATATAATTAAAATAGTAGATATAACAGACACTTCAGAATTTGAATAAAATTTTTGAGTGTGTTAATTACTCTAAACTTGGTGTGTGGAAAAGTGGAATTGTAGGAGTTATTGAATACGACAGCCCCTAAGAAAGCTGATGAATAGATGTTTGGAGTAGAGAAGGGAGTTATATGAGTTAAAGGGGTGGACAGTTTGAGTTAGTTACATCAGTAAAAGGGTTTTGATGGCAAATGAATGACCATTTTAATGATACAAGTGCAGGAGTAAAGTGAGCACAGTAGGAAACTGAAATGAAGAGATGTGGGCCACTGGATTTGAGGTAGATTAAAGAAAAAGTTGAGTAATGTGCTAGAAAATTTGTCAGTGAATTATCTCTATTTGAGGCAGTTTATGGGAAAGAAAATAAATCATCAAAAACAGAAAAAAAATCCTCAAAAGTGGTATAAAATCCCACAGAGAAGGAAATGTAAGCACATAAAATTCTAAAATGCCTATGATGTTTTATTTTCCCTTAGTAGATCATATATATTAAGATTGAAAAACAAGTTTGTGTTTTTTTTAAAAAAACTAAATTATATATATTAAAATCGAAGGAAAGATGAAATTATCACTTAACAGCAAAATGTATGTTACATTTAGTT